AATTATAATACCACGCATTATCATGGTAGATAGGGAATAACTACCTTAACAACTTATTATGATAAAAAGGAATCATTGGATAGTTTGCTCTATGTTTGGGTGGCCCAACATTGCTCTGGACCCAATTCAAGGGCTAAAATCATAACTCAAAACACCTGTTAGCTCTCCGTAACTACACAGTTCGTAAGTTTACATAATTAACCTCTTTTCCTCAGCTAATTAGGGGTTAATTTTTTTTTTTGATGTTACACATTATTTGATACATAATTTCTTGTGAATTATTATGGAATTTAATGATTGATGTAAACTCTGAGTAATGACTTGTAGCTGAATATGTGGGTGGTATGGTTGTATATCATCATTGAGTAATACGTTAGTTTAAATATTTTAGTTATTGAGATTTTGTATGAAATCTTATCTCATTACTTTTACCATTTTTGAGAGAAGAAAAGAGCAAGGAAGGGGGTGAGATCTTAGGAACAAAACACTAGGGCTTCTAAGCTTCTGGTAAAATTTTTGTAATGGATTTAAGTTAAGATTTTGCTAACTATAGGGACATGTAATTCATATTTATTTTATTGTGATTACTTAATATATTAAGGCTTGAACTGATTTTAAGGGCCTTAGCTTATCTTTAGATGTGTGAGAGATTCAAGCTGGATTTTAGCTTTATTTCATCACATGAGACTCTAATTTATTCAAAAGTATGCTTGGGAATTTTTGGTATATTTTATATGATTAAATGTGATTGATTCTGATATGAAAATGTTTGATATAAATTGTATGTTGTTTGAAATTATTGTGAATGGTCAAAAGTGAACATAGTGAGACAAGCTACCTGCTGAGAGAGCAGAGCACATGCCTAGGTAAGTAGGTGGCTTTTCAACAAGAAGAGCTGAGTTGTTGGCTATGGCAAGCAGCTAAGGGCTATGACAGGAAAGTATTCTCTATGTAATAAATGTATTCTCTTACTTTAAGTTGTGTATAATATGAAAAGAAATTTAATTGCCGTAATTTATAAGTATATTTCATTATCTGTTAGTAAAAATCATCTTTTTTGTTATCTTTTTGTTAGATACTTGTCATCTTTTTCATTATCTGTTAACCTAAAATAGTTATAGAGCCTACGCACTGTGACAACAAGGCATACTATTCCATTTTGACCATCTAACAAGGGTTAAAGGGGATGCAAGTAGCAATGGCAAGAATCGAGTCGGATTCTAGTGATGAAACATCAACAAAATGGGTCAGAACACTTTATTGTTACTAGGCACACACAACTATTCCATGTCAATAGATGACACAAAAAAAGGCAGGTTATTGACCAAGGTTGATCTTGCTTTTGAAAAACTTATTTAATGGGATATTGTCATATCCTTAATATATGGTGCCTAGTTTTTAACCCAATAAAAATGTACAGAAGCGCATTTGTTGGGACTCGGGGGTGCTTGCTTGAATTCGGTGCAAGGCCAGTAAACTGGGACGGTAAAACAACTCTTTGGATTGAGACTTGTTAGGCCCATTGGGTCATAACACGTGGAAAATAATTAATTTCAGATGGGTTATTTCAGATAGCATGTGAAAAAAATTCTACAAAATCAATTTGCTCCACCAAAAGAAAAATCAGTTTAAAGATTGCATGAAAATAGATTTTTTTCTTATTTTTTATCGATACACCTATAGGTATTAATCAATGTAAATATTGCTAAGTAAATAGTAATATAATAAATACTACACCAGAACAATATTAATGTGTGAAACTCATCTCTCGATATCGAGGAAGATTGTTCCACGATCTTTATCAATGTGCTGTTGTTTTCTTATGGTGTCAATGTGGATGAGACGACTATTACTTCTTCCATTAAAACTATCGTTTATTGGTCCTCTTTTTCTCCTTCTATTGTTTGGTTTTAGGAGTTCATCGTTTAAGCAATAAAAAGAGGAGAGATTCAACTCAATTGATTCAATCAAGTTGTGTCTAATAAAAGGGATTAATTCTTTATAATGTAATGAACTAATATTTGAATTTTTATTTGGAAATGTGTTTACATTTAGTATTTGATAATGTTTTGAATATAGTTGCCAAAAAACTCAATTAATTGTTGACATGGAAAAAATTATAAACATTTGTTGATTGGAATGCGCCACTGCCTCTGAAAGAGTCAAATGTCACACAACAAAAATTGTAAAGAAGATGTGTGGAATTTGAATTCAAATTTATAATTATAATCCTATGCTAAATAATTAAGATTCAATTCAACCTCCACCATTAAGGCTCTCTCAAATTGGGATAATCATGCACTATTTGCTTACTTTATAATATACTCTCCAACATCATCATTTTTAGCCTGTTAGATCCATCTTAATTAAGTAAATTCTGGTTTTACCACATTTCATATTTTTCCAACACGCCTTTATTAATTTAAAATGTATATTTTTTATTTTCTTTTTTAAAAAGTACCATGTTTCATAAGACACACCAAAAGTGCAAATAATAATAGATTTGAATTTCTGAAAGTAGGGTTTTCATTTTTTTTTGGTAGAACTGGGAATTCGGATAGACTGAGTCTATTCGGACTTGACTCCTTAAAAAGTTCAAATAGCTAAGCTCAATTTAAATTTCTTTAGGCTTTGGGCGGCCCGAATATCCAAATTTTATTTTTAAAATTATTTTTAATCAATTTTTTTACTTTAAAATTAATTATTTTATTTCATTTAATATTTAAATGATGCATAAGACTCAAATATATGGTATTTTAATATAAAATAACCTAAAACTTAAATAATTAATTAATATTTATCATTTTTATATATTTTGTAAAAATAAAAAAAGTTATTCAGGTATTCGGACTTGGCTCGAATTTTCTTGGGCCTATTTGGGTAGCTCGAATAGGCCCGAACATAAAAATATCATAATTTTTTTAAGCCAAATCCTAACTTTTTTTGGGCGGATTCGGGCTAATTCATCGAGCTCGACTCGAATTATAGGCTCTACTTTTTGATGGAAAGTTTAGTTTATACTTCTTTAAGATGGGTAAAAAGGTGAGAAGAAATATGTGAAGGAAAAATTGTAAGAGAAAATTGCCAAAAATGGTTTTTTTTAACTACTTTTGGCAATTTCCCTTATATTTTTCTTTCCTTCATAATTTTCTGCCAATCCAAACCAAGTTCATTAATTTCTAATGATTTGTAATTAATTTTAATCATTATCTTTCACAAAAAATTAGGTTAAATGACAAATTCTCTTTTAAACTATATGTCTAGAAATGTTTGAGATTTGAAACTCATTTTTTATATACTGTTTTTGTTCAACATTTCAAAAAAAATAAAATATTATTTTATTGTCAGCAAATATTAATTTTAACCAGTAGTTGACAAATAATTTATAGAAAAAACCTTAAAAATTATGAAAAGACCTTAATTTTTGAATTTTTTTCTATAATTTTTGGTCAATTCTATAATTTTGAGGTTTTTTTTTTAATTTTCTAACTAACTAAAGACTAATATTAAATTCTATTAACATAGGCATGACGGGCAATATTATGCCATTGTTAAAAGAAAAAAATATTATATTAAAGATGAGTTTAGAATTTTAAATTTTTCAAACTTATAATTTGAGGTTGAGATTGCTATTAAGATAAAAGTAAAAGGTTAAAATACTTCGGCAGTTTTGCAGTTTTACAAGTGGTCTAATCTATCGCATTACCTTTGCAAAGTAAATCAATCATCATCTTTATGGTGACCCTTCAACGTTACTCCTCTCATCTGTTGCGAGGGCGTGTTTTTTTTTTTTTTTTTAAATTAAAATCTTGACTGAGTAGTATTTTTGAAAAATCAATATACATTCATGCTTCAAAGGTCAAGTGATGATTACAAAAATACTTATAAATTATTTATTAACAAAAATTTCAATATTTTTTCTTAAAATTGAACACGTGTACCTATAAAATGTGATTTTTTTGGTCAAAGTATAAAATATAAGTTTATCTACCATCCAACCACCATTTTGCTAGAGATTAGAAATGATAATTCAGATGAGTTAAGTTCATTTGGATTTGACTTAAAATATCATGTCTTTAAAAAAAATTATATAGTTAAATTCGGCTTTAATTTTTTTTGGGTGAGTTCGGGTTGATTCATCGGGCTTGGTTTGAATTATCGAATCAATATACATATAAAGATGATAATTCCAACGATCAAGTTTATTTAAACTAAATTTATTTAAATTGAGCTTAAAATATCCTATATTTAAAAAAAAATTACATAATTAAGTCCGGCTCTAATTTTTTTCAGACGAATTCAGATTGGCATGAATTACCTGCTCTATTAGATGGAGCAAAAAAATTGAGTTAGGGTTCTTATCACTGCCACTAGCGGTGGACACTAAATTTGACTATTTAAATTAAAATTATAATTAGATGGCAAACATTTAATCTCATTGTATTTTTTTATTTTTAATAGTTTTTATTTTAATAAATGTAAAATTTAAAATAAAAATAATTTTTAATTGTCAATCTATAAAAAATAAATTTATTATTTAAAATTATAAATTAAGTTTTAAATTTGGACTGTTAAAAATTAATATGAATAGTCTTACACATTGATAACTCCAAAACCAACTCACTCAAGTCTAGACTCTATAAAGTTATTGAAATGGATTGGTGTATTGTATTAATTAATTTAGAGATATATCGTTCTATCTGTTCGCTCATATAACTATGAATTATGAATATGAATCATTATTTGTGTGCAAACAGATTATGAATCATTACAAATTGCAAATTCACCGAATTAACCTCGTTCGGAAAACATCGTTTGTTTCCCGGGGGCGATGCTTGTGGCCCAGGGTCAGGGGTTTCAAAAAAACTCGCACGGAATTTGATAAAACAGAGGAAATTCAAAAAAAAAAAAAAAAAATCAAAGGGAAAAAAAATAAAAGAAAAGAAACGATCGAAAATCTCCAATAAAGAAAACAAGAATACCAAAGGAAAAAAAGAAAAGAAAAAAAAAAAAGGACCTCGGTGAAGACGCAAAACAAATCTGGATTTGTGTTTCATCCGTCTTCCGTCTGCCTCCCTGAGCCTTCTTCATCGTCTTCACCTCACGGAATCGCCCAGTGGTTGAGACACCTTCGAAACCCTACTTCGCCTTCCTGTATTCTTGATTCTTAGTTCAGTCTATTCAAATTTCAGTTCTTTATTCCCAAAAAAGCCCCCTCCTTCACTGAGAATGCCAAAGCTATACCCTTCTAGATAGCCTCCGGAGACACCCTGCACTGATTTTTGAGGACCAGACATGATCGTGCGGACGTACGGGCGCCGCAGCAGAGCAATTTCGAGGGCCTACTCCGACACCTTGAACGACGACGTTTCCGAGACCTTCAGGGACTCTTTGTCCCAAGAAAGTTCGCAAGACCACCTGTGCGGCTTCGCATTCTCGTCTCAAGGTTCGACCTCGCATTGGTCTGCTTTCGATTCGGACCCCTGCGATACGAATTCGATCTTACCCTCAAGGGTCCCTTTCGACGATTTATGCAACGGGGTGTCTAGGAAGTCGAAGAGATCGAGGATTGCGAAGAAGGAGACAGAAGTGCCCAAGAACAGTGGGCTGTCTATTCCGGCGACGTCTACGTTGATGGAGGCGCAGGAGTTTGGGGAGATGATGGAGCATGTAGACGAGGTGAATTTTGCTCTGGATGGGCTTCGGAAAGGTCAGCCAGTGCGGATCAGAAGGGCGAGCTTGGTGTCTCTGTTGGCTATATGTGGCACGGCTCATCAACGGCGGCTTCTACGAACTCAAGGGTATGTGAATTAGTATGAAATTTCGCTAGGAACGTATAGGAATTGAAATTTTTGAAATTCTGGTGTTGGGGTTTGTTGAAGTGAAATTTAAAGTCTAAAGTTTAAAATTTAAATTTGGGATCAGGATTAGATGGATAAATTCATAGTAGGTCTTCTTGATTATTTGACGAATGTGATTTATAAATTTATTATGTTTCTTGTTAATCATTACTAGCTTCTGACGCTAGGCGGTAGTTTTTTATCCAAATTTTCATTGTTGGGCTGATTATCTCTCGGCGGCTCTGAGGCTCAGGAAAAAAAAAAAGAAAGAAGAGAGGAAAGAAAAGAAACACATGTATTTTGATTAATCTGCGAGTCTAGTATAAGAATTGCCAATTGGATAGATCCGACTTTGAGATTTCTTTAGTCATTTCCCAAATGATTCATATATTGGAACTTGAATGCTGGACACCTTGAAGGCTGCATTAGGGTCATTTATTCACAAGACTTTCTCGCCAATTAATAGAATGAAATTATGAGAGTAATTATGTAGTTTTTCCTCATAAGGATTCAGAGTTACATATAACTTTGCTTTGCTTCGTCATTTGCTACATGAAACATTTGAAACCTTTACAATACTCATTTACTATCACGCTTTCTTCATGTTATGATAACACAAACAGTTGTGAGGCACGGCCAGTTTACCCAAATTGATTTTCCTAAAATTGAAAAAAAGAAGCAATTGAAGAAAATAATATCTGAAATTTTAAACTGAGGATACATATTTTACCTATTCTCTTTGGGAAAGTTATTGTTGTGGAAGTATATATGATAAATCTCTCGTGTCTTCTTTCAGGATGGCAAAGGCAATAGTTGATGCTATTTTGCGGCTCAGTCTTGATGATTCTCCTAGCAATCTTGCAGCTGCAACACTTTTACACATTTTGACCTGTGATGTAAGTCTTGTAGGGTTCTGTTAGTGAAATTGTTACCGTAGTGAATTATGAAAGAAGCTTTTAGACTACTTATGAAACATTGCACACTTTCCCATTCCATATTAATAAATCTTTTCACAAGCTGCTAGAGGTTGCATGCTATCTTTGTCTTTTAATATTAATGCAACGTTTTCCCCCAAGTATTGAGTAGTTTGTTGTTTTACTCAGCATGTTTGCTGTCTTATTGGATGTTTGATTCTATATTTAGTCATTAGTCGTTATATAACTAATGCTATGGCTGACTGTATCGCATTTTCAATGTTGTGAGTTTATGGTTGAGATGGTATGGAGAAAAAAAGTCCTGAAGTGAGTAGATGATGTGTATGGAAGTACAATGAAGGACCAACCTTCTGGGTAGTTGGCACTACAAAAGCAATGAAAAGTTTTTGGAAGCTCTTTGCATGTGGGAAGTACATGGGATGTGTGGATGACTATCATTTACGAAGAAATATGTGTCACATATATTGATAAGTTTATGTTTTGGCTTCACTCTTGATATTTATTGGGCAAGAAAGAATTGTTCATCACGTACTTGCATGATATTTTAGTGGCATGTATTTCCTCTTGATACTAAGTGTAGACTTTGTATTATCATCGCACTACATGATTCATTCACTTATGTATACTGAACATACTTTTGTTTCAGGGTCAAGATGATCGCCTTCTTGAATCACCTAGTTGTGTTCGGTTTCTAATCAAGTTGTTGAGACCAATTGTCTCCACAGCCAGTAAAGACAGAGAACCTAAACTTGGCTCAAAACTTCTAGCATTGTGTCAAAAAGCTGATGTCTTTAAAAATACAACGAGTAGATTGGACTCCAGTTCCGTGGCAGTTTTTTCTAGAGTTGAAGAAATTCTAGTGAATTGTAAAGAGCTAAAAACTACCTGTCGGAATGACAGTGGGGTAGAGAGGCCAGAGTTATGCCCCATATGGTTAGCATTGCTGACTATGGAGAAGGCTTGCATATCTGCCATCTCTCTTGATGGTATTGAATTAAATATCACCTTGAACATTACACGTTACTAGCTAACTCTATTCTTTTTCATCTCTTTATCTGGTTCTTTAATATGTTAAAGTTGGCTGTCTCATGCAAAAGTAAGAATAGCCCATTACATGTATGTAACCTGTGCACTTGACAGTCTAGGACTCATTACTCTAGCTCACAAAGCTATAATGCCACACATTACATGTGTTGCTTTTGAGCATTTGAAATTTGAAGGTACTTTACAATTTGATTTGGTTGAGCTTGACCTCATTGAATTTTTACTGGGTCTAAACTATTTTATGTCATTGCACTTTTCTTGGTTACTTGCTTTTCTATTTAAAATTAACATTTGCTTAGTTTTCTCCATGTAATTTATGATTTTCTGCGATGACCTTTCTCTTCTTAAGCTAAAATATTGAGGGACAGCAGGCCTTTTGATGCTTGTTACTGAGATGCTTATATAGACTGTAATCTTTTGTGGTCATGCTGACTCTCTTTACAATCTTGTATGTGACCAACCAATTGCTTTCTATATCTGCTGATAATTCTTTTTTATTTTTGGTTGTTACTTGGGTATGTGTATTTTCAGAAACCACTGGTGCAGTTCGGAAGGCCAGCGGGAATTTCAAGGAAAAACTAAGGGAGCATGGAGGACTTGATGCTGTCTTTGATGTTGCCATGAATTGTTATTCAGATTTGGAGGTGTGAGCTTGTATGTTAGGTCAATTCTGCATATGCTTTGTTATATTTGGAAATCAGAATTTTGAATATTAATCAATAATCAACTAAAGCAAAAGGAAGTTGCCGGAGAAAGCTAAAAGTGGAGACTGGAGACAATTTTTTCGTTTTAATGTTTCTTGTTCTGAGATGGGTTATCATGGTCCTGTCCATGCGCAGCAGTTTCCTTCTGTATGATTTGGCTAAAAAAACAAGAAATTATGAGTGCCTTAGAGTAATATGTTGCCACATTGGCTTTTGCTTATTTTTCTCAGTTTTATAACTCTAGCCTTGCCTCCATTGGACAAAATCAGGGTAATTGTCACAGATATTTTGTTTCTATGTGATGGATTCGGTAGGTGAATGATATGTTTGGCTTTCTTGACGTCTATTCAGTATTCTTCACATATATCCTCAATGTGGACTATACTATAGTATTTATTATCTTGAAACTACGAATTGTCTTTCAGAATTGGATGGAAGGTCTATCAACCAAAGATTTGAGAAATGACAAACAGCTGAAGAGTCTAACTCTTCTTCTCAAATGTTTGAAGATCATGGAAAATGCTACATTTCTTAGTAAAGACAATCAGGTGCAACCGCATATCTCTTTATTCTTTACTTCTAAATTTGTCACAATTTTGTTTTTTGTTTTTGGAAATAGATATGACTTTTATTTATGTATCTATATTTATCTTTCCGTCTTTAGATGACTGAAGTGAACGTTTTAATTTATCAATTTTTTCACCCATTTTGTCATAATAGAATCATTTGCTTGGAATGAAAGGAAAGTTGAGTCCTCTGGCAACAGTATTATCTTTCACGGAGCTAGTTATACGGGTCATTAAAATTCTCTCAGGTAATGATTACCCTTTTGTAGATATATGTCTCCTTCTATTATAATTTGTTTTTTAATATGCTATTATGCTTTGATAAATTTACATTTTCAAATGATTAATAGTTCTTATTCTGTCTCCCACCCACCCAATACTTCTCAAAAATACTAAGAAAATCTTTTAACTTTTAGATATAAATTTACGAAGAAGTGCTTCTGCATCATCAAAGAATAGCAAGTCTCGCTGTCCTTTTGGTTTGGCTGGTCACGGTTCTCAACTGGATCTGCTTGCGGACCTTGAAGGTAATATATTGTTAGCTGTGCTATAAAATTAAATCCTCCCGTGGGGACAGGGAGTGCTTGTCACATTGGCGATTATTTCCTTGGAAAAGAAAGAAAGGAAGGGGACAAGTAGTGAAGAGTGATAGATGAGTGATCCCTTGAGGGGAGGGGATGTGGCACTCACCATGTTGGCTAGTGTTCTCTTGGGGAGTATGGAAGGGTGCGCATTGCTCTGGTGGGTGTAGCATAAAAAAATAGAGTATTTTAGCCTAGCTAAAAGCCTGAATGTTATGTAATTATAAATAAGAAAAGAATTAAGAATTAGTTAGGATTTAAATAGATTTAGATGACTTAAATAGATTCAGATATGATTTAAATAGATTTAAATGGGATTTAATTGTTAGTTAGGATTTTAAATGTGATCCTAATATTAGTGGGATTATGATAGATTAGGATATCTATTAAGAATAGGATGCCTATAAATATAAGCGCGGTAGTGTACCTGATTCATGATTCGTGTTCTTACAAGATCGCTTATTCCATATTCTCTCTGTTTCCTTTCTCTCTCTTTCCCTCTTTTTCCAATCTAAAATATAACATTGAATTTGCATATAAATGAGATCACATGTGAGTTGTGGAAGGTGTCCTCAAGGTGTTGGATTTTTGAAATTCTTTTGGTGAGAAGCACAGAAAGATGCTTGTCTGAATGAATTAAGGTGCTACAACAAGCAAAAATATGATGATGTAGACAAGAAATAAATAAATGTAATTTAAAATAACCCTTTGCACACATTCTAAAGATTATGACATGTAAACAAAAACTAAATAAATGTAGTAGTCTTGTCAGTCGCAAGCTATTAACAAAAGACAAAATTCATTTTTCAAGTGCCAAAAAAAAAATTTTATTTGAAGATATGATCGAATGATCTAAAAGTCTATGAGTGTTAATTATACGAATTGGAAGTAATAACCTAAATAAGATTCTAAATTCATAAGCTGAGAAAGTATGCGCTTCTCTAGCCTCTCTGTTTTTTTTTGGCCTTGTTAACCTTGTAGCCTAACTAGTTTTAAATTTATCATGCTTATTTTATCAAGTTATCTTGCATATGAAAATGATGTATGGACTTTTCGGATGGTAATATATAGTTTTTGGGCTTGGGTTCCTAGTTAGATTTGTTCATTTGAGGAAGGCGCCTGAGGCACTTGACTTTCTTGATATAAAGGTTGCCGAAGGCACTTGTTTTCGTGCCTTAGTGAAGCCAGCACCTCTTACACACCTCTCATGCTGTGAGAGGTGCTAGAGCTGTTTGGTGTCTTGCCTCAGTGCACTAAGGTTAGTGCCTTTGTCATAAAAAACAAGATGATACTTTTTTCAGATGAAAGTGTTCAAGATTTCATTTAAGTCACACTTGGCTTTAACAAAGATCCACCCTTTTGATTAAATTTTTTACAAGAAGCTGTTTGAAATTGTTTATTCTAGCTAACTTTTAGATATATCATCCAGATATTTAGATTGCTGTTTTAACTTGCAGGAAACGAGGCCTTATCCGGGAATTCCTCTAGAAATTACCGTGGTTTGGAGAGAACCTCTTTAGATAAGAAATCTAATGTATCTCATAAAAGCCAATCGTTGGCATGCTCTCAGTTGGATAGCTCGCCTTCCATCTATGAAATTTCCAGCACTTCAACAAGTGATACACATTCGCTGGAGATGAGAGTCAATTCTTCCACTTATGGGTCTTGCAGTGGTTCATCAAGGAGTTCAGATTGCAAAACATCAATGACCTTTAGCTGTTCTAGGAAGAATGTTTCCTCAAGTGATGGCATTCCTGTTGTTGTTTTAGATGATAGCCAAGATCCATTTGCGTTTGACGAGGAAGAGTTTCAACCCTCTAAATGGGACCTAATGTCAGGGAAACAAAAACGAAATCAATCCAAAAAATGTGATATTTCAAAAAGAGAATTTGATGAAGATCGACGCCAATCCCAGACAACTGTGGACCATCTAGAATCAAATAATGGTGATGTCAGTTGTTCCACTTCTGACGTTGGTGATGAAGAAGTATCTGGTCTTCTGGCTGATTGCCTTCTAACAGCTGTCAAGGTATTTCTTTGTTTTTGATCTATCTATATCTCAATTATTATCCATTTTCTCACAATGTCTTGGAAATATTTTGTCAGAAGTTACTTTAGAAGTATTTTTGATGTATCATTTATTATTCCTTTTGCTTATTGGACAAACGGAATGAATTGAAAATACCATGTGTAGAACGCTGAAGATAGTCCACAGATGCAATTCAAGGCCATGAAATGTGCGAGGGCAAGATGTCCTTGAACATAAGAGCATTCTCCTTCTTGTCCCCCCCCCTCATAGATGAGGCTAGCAAAGAGCTGGAGAAGAGCATTCTCCTTCTGTTGAATGTGTCAAGGAACAGCATAAACTGCAAGCCACCTCAAATTTTGGCCTCCTTATCTCCTCTATAATGTATACCCCACCTCCTATTGTTCACTGGGAACTCCATGAGAAAATATTGGCCTAACAATGTGAAAGGAAATGAGCAATCGGAGGTAGCTTTACACCCAACACCCATCATGGGACATTGCTGTCAACAGAGCAGTAAAGCTGCAAATATTATTAGTCCGGGTCTTTTGATGTTCTACCTTCCAAATGAAAGATTTGACCTTGTAAGGAGTTTCAGAGTTTTAAATTAGTTTGTTGATAGAAACCTCTCTCAATTAGGAGAAAGATATTGGAAATAGGACTAGGACTTGCTCAAGAATGCAGAAGATGAATGAAGAGTCTGAACTCCTTTATTTGAATTGGAGAGCTTATGAATAGGCTCAGGTGAATAAGGGATTCTAATTCATTTAGTGTCGAAGAGTATAGTGCAAGTGGAGGGAATGTCTACAAATCAGATCTTTAATTTTTTTTTTTTTGTGCATAGTTCTATGCACCAAGTTTCTCTTGGTTAATGCCGTGCTCCAGTGAAACTTTGGATGAGATACAATTCTTGTTTTTGCTTGTTATCATTGTAGGCGTTTCAATTCAGCTAGGAATGAATCTAGTGCATTCTCCCGCCCTCTCTCCCTTCTTTGGCAGAGCTCCTTTAGTTATAAGTTATTTGAATAGATTGGATATAAGTTATGTGCTATTTTTTGTTGTCTCATTGTAGGTGCTGATGAATTTGACTAATGACAATCCTGTTGGCTGTCAGCAAATTGCTTTACATGGTGGACTGGAGACCATGTCTTCGTTAATTGCTGGTCATTTCCCTTCTTTCAGCTCAACACCCTCCTTTTCTCAGATAAGAGAAAATACTTCAAAGGATGCAATCAGCCATCCATTTGAAGTGCATCTTACTGATCATGAGCTAGATTTTCTTGTTGCTATTTTGGGCTTGCTTGTGAATCTGGTAGAGAAGGATAGTCATAATAGGTAATTTAATTTTTAAGCAGTTTATTGACTGGCAGTTGGAATACAGACAATATTTATGTGTTTATATATATATATATATGTATATAATTTTTTTTTTTTTTACTGCTAACTTTGTCACTGGTTTTCTACAGATCACGTCTTGCGGCAGCCAGTATTACGCTACCTGCCTCAGTTGGCTTGGACCAAGAAGCTCAGAGAGATGTTATTCAATTATTATGCTCTATTTTCTTGGCAAACCAGGGTCAGAACGAGGGATCTGGGGAAGATAAACATTTGCAACTGGTGGGTGCCATTTATAATTTAGACTTTTTGTCTAATTTGCTCATTTTTATTCCTTATTTATTAATATGCTGCATCAAAGTATGGAAGTTATTGTTACTGATATTATAATTTCATATGAATAACGTCTTTTTGCATCCGTTTCATTGTATCATTCAGTGCTTTGTGTGCATTTTAGATGATGGAATGCTGTTGTTGTTCACTTAACTAAAATAGTTGCAATTATTTTTTTATGTGCAACGTGCAAGTGAAAAATGTAGATTTAATTCAAACGAGCAATAGGTTCCAAGATTTGAGGCAGGAACTAAGTATTGGACTATTCTTGTTTGCCTTATCTGATGTTATTTTCAAGAGTTATCATGTGTTTCATCTTGCAGAATGATGAGGCGGCTCTGCTAGAAGGTGAAAAAGAAGCTGAGAAAATGATTGTAGAGGCATATTCGGCCCTGCTTCTAGCCTTTCTTTCTACTGAAAGGTTATCTGTCTTATCCATTGTTTGTTCAATTTTATTTTCCAGCAATTATTCAGGCTTTTTATGTATTTACATTGGCTTACAGCAAGAAGGTACGAGAAGCAATTGCTGACAATCTTCCCGATCGCAAGTTAGCTATCCTTGTACCTGTGTTAGACCGATTTGTGGTATGTTGCTCTTGGCACTCTTGAATAACATGGCAAATTAGGTTCTTTAATTAACCATTTGTTAAATGCTGTTTTTGCTTTTATAAAAAAAGGAGGAGGAGTAAAGGTTATGGGAGTATGGGTTTAGGTTTGAATGCCTGGCCTTGTGTCGGGGTGTAAAGCTAAGACTGCCTTGCTAATTGCATCCTTTTATGACCTAAAGAGGAGAACAGTTATCTGGGTTTTAATTGACCCGCAACATGGGATTGTTTAGTAGGAGTTCTCGTTTAGTAATTGTCTGTTTTGGGTGTTGGGCAGCCTGGGCAATGTTTCTGGTTTATTCCTTTGCTAGATATGGCCTACACTATCACCTAGGGCCCACGTTTCAATATTTTGAACGTGATTTCACAATTACGCTTGTCCAGGAATTTCATCTGAGTTTGAACATGATTTCACCGGAGACACATAAAGCCGTGAGTGAAGTCATCGAATCGTGTCGAATTCCATGAAAAACTTGACAAATGGAAAACTTGTACAGCCTCCGCCTACAGTAGTGCTTGTTACGGGACTCGCCCTAGATTTGCTGCTGGTCACCCTTGTCATACTGCCAGATCTTTGTTGCTCAATTCAAAGCTCTTCATCTTGGCTCCATTTTATTTTTCCAATACAAAACTTTTTCCTGTGTTTCTATCATGCGATTGGTGACCGGATGCTTGCATACAGAAAATCAGTAGCAAATGCCTGGATTCATTCCTGGCATGGTTTCTGTGTAATAGTAGTGCTTTTTTATTTTTTTTTTTTATATTTTGGTTCAATATTTTTGTTTATTCATTCATTTTCTTGTATCAGGAGCCTTTATATCATGTTAAAATCCACCCATCTCATATTTCAACATTTCCGCAACTTTATAAGTTGAAACTGGTTGATTTTCTTTTTGTATCTGTAATGGTAGAGATTAGTTTGACAGTCGAACTAGATCTCACTCAGAAGCCATGATAATGTCTATTTTTCTCATGTAAGGATGAAAATCACTGGAGAGATTGAAAGCCACTGTAGTTTATAGTATTTTACTAACGAGGTCGTAACAATGAACTTGCATGGGAAAATTTATGCCCAAAAAAGAAGGGAAAAAAATCCCAGGTTTGGAATTAGGACACAGGAGGTTTTGATTTACAGATCATTTGTGCGCGTCCGTGGAATGAGGTGATGATCTCAATGCAGATGAAAATGTCTTGTTCTACCTGAAGCCTCGTTTAATTTGGCTTCAGAACGAGAAGTACTGGAAACAAAGATCGACCGGAAAAGTTGTGAAGGAATTAAGTTCAGGACACCATTTGGTTCCAGCTAAAATTAAAGTATTGTCAGAATAAATTAAAGTATTGTCAGAATAAATTATCTCATTTTTTTTAACAAAATTTTATATGATACATATTACTGTCTTATTATTGTTTATTCGGTGTCAACAAAATTTTCGGCACAGCATGAAACTTCCAAGCTGCTTCTAGGATGATAAAATCAATAATTTTGAGCTCTAATGTTAAATTATTTTTTGTTTTTAATAAGTATAAATATTTTAGAGTTTTATTTTAAAATACATATCTACAAGATTAATTAAAAAAAACCTAATTTAATTATTATTTTCTTATATCGTTTGCAATGGTAAAATGTAGTTATATTTGCATTATAATTAAACGATACGCCTTGAAGTGATTCAGTTTCTCTGTTGTTCCTGCCCGTCTACCTCTTAATATCTCTTCTATTTTCCCTTCTGAATAATCCAGGAGCTCTCTCTCTCTCTCTCTCTCTCTCTCTCTCAATTTTTTTCATCAAAATTCTCTTTTGAAAAGAATTACATAGTAAACCGTTTTCCGCTTAAAAGTATGGAGGTATCCTAATCTCAATGTCAATAATTAATATTTTGCTAAAAAAATATTAATAATTGCTATATTAACATTAATATCAATAGAAAATATAAAATCAACATAAAATATATAAAAATACATAATACAAAAATCATATTATTGACCAGGGGTAGCGCAAATGACATAATTTACTTCTCACATATACCAAGCACCAATCATGCATCTGTGCGCGCGCACACACGCACACATAATTAATATTAATTAATTACGAACATAATCAATATTAAGTAATTAATTAATATATCTACACATTTACCATAAAAAACCATTTGGTTTGGCTCTCTAGTTGTTATAACAACAGGCATCGTCATTCATCAGTCTCTGTTAAGTGTACTTTACTGTTCAAATCTTCCATTGAAACTTAACCGAACTAGCGGACTTATTCATGACAGAGTCTACAAAGTGAAGTTCACAATCAAATGTGCTTACCAAAGAAGTCAAGGATAAGCTGATTAACTCGTTCAGGAAATTGTTCCTGAACAAAATGGGTTCCCTCAAGAACAAATGCTATCTCCAAATTGGGGACAAATTCTTTTGCCTTTTCGCTCTTTATTAGATCCTCAATCCCTCGAAATTTAAGAGAATAATCCTTGCCGCCAACAATAAGAAGTGCTGGAACTTTCACTATCGGATCTGATAAGTTGAATTCTTCATCAAGAGACCTATAATATAAATGCCCATAACCAAAACACAAAGTCAATAACCATCATTCGCCCACCAGCTCAGAAAGTTTCTTAGACAGTCATTCTGCTCCTAATTATGTACAAAACAAGTCAATTTTCTCTCCAGGTTTTTCCGTCTTGACCAGGCCGGGTGTACACAAAGTAGACTTGTGTCGTGTACATTTGGACAGATCAGAAACATAATCATTCCATTACCTGTATGGAACATTCAGTGCAGTTTGGAATCCAGATTTCTCATACAATGCTCCATATGCTGCAAGATCTTCTTCTGTAAACCAAGGGGGGAGAGGGGTTGATGGATTCACCAAATCCATAATCTCCTGGTTTTTCTCAGCTATAGGCATCTCACTTCTTGAGAAGAGAATGTAAATGTTTCTCACAACAGTCTTTGCATCAAGACGTCCAAAATCAGCCTCTGCTCTCCCTGGTTCCTAAATTGGACAGGACAAGATCGCATAATACCTGGGATTTGTGATTACACTTGAAACACAATTAGAGTCTAAGATTACCTGAAATCTTAAAATGTACAAGCCTTCAGGAAAGTATTTGGGGAGCTGAGAGTGAGAGCGGCCTGGAGGGACGTATGGAGGTCCAAAAGTGATGATAGCCAAGACCCTTTCTGGGTGTAGAGTGGCAAACAAATACGCAACTCGAGTTCCAAAGTCTTTTCCAACAAGAAAAACCTGTTTACACAGTTGAAGTGAGGAAATAGATGAAGATAAAGATAAAACCTTAACCAATTGATCCTTATAGTTGCAGGGAAAGACTCACTTTTTTAGTTTACTGACATGTAATATATGGCAACTAATCAAAGACTGATCGCTATTTTAGATAGATAATCGTTAAAATTCACAAGGAGGTATATTTTGCATCAAGAATATGAAAAGTGAAGGATGCCATAGATTTATCATTCACCAAACTACATGGTTCCCAATATTAACTAGAGAATAATTCTACCAAGTTAACAGATAAGACCAGTTTAAAATGCAATATCATGTCAATGGGAGATACTATAGTGCTTAAATCTTTTATTACAAGCATGTGACTATAGAAAAAGCAAAATCCTCCTGGAAATAGGAAGTATTAACCATAAAAAAATAACAGAACAGAAACTTTTGAGAGACAGAACGGCTTATAGATGCTTAATCAGGAGTATTTTGCAGCAAGGCTTGAACCTCAGGTTAGGTACTTTATACTTTTTCCCTTTCTCTTCAATGGGGACAGACATCTTAGATCATTTCTGGATTCGGTCAATTATAATAATTTAATTGATGAACCAATCGATCCCAAAATAACCCAGTATTGTTTCCAGCCAAACAGAGTAGAAAAGAGATGAAACCAGAAATTAGATTATTATTTAGGTATTTTACGTTAACCTCTTTCCAAAGGTGATCTTAATCACTCTTGTTATATTTTGTTTAAAAAATATCATTTGGTTGGCTCTACTAACATTCGATATACATTACAGGAATCCAGTTAAATTAGTTTTCTGCAGAACATGAAAGTTCGATTTTATTTTTCAAACGATACGAAAGGCAGCTAACAAATTTCATTGTCTAACGCAATACATAATCAGCAAAAGGTTATCTCAGCAGTCAGTTCATAGAAACCACAGGTGTATCGGTCACAACTCGAGCAAGCTTTGAGAAATTTCACTCTTGTTACTAAACACATATGAAGATGAAGCATAACCTCGTCAAGGATTCACTGCCTTTCGACTTCAAAAACAGAGAAAGCCCACAGATTCATTACCTTAGCAAGACCGAGGGCATTGAGCATTCCAAGCATATCACTAACAATGTCAGAGAAGGTGGCCTTCTCGGTTTCAGGTGGCGGGTCAGAAAGGCCGTAGCCTCTATAATCGGGGGCGATCGCTCGGAAGCCAGCACCGGCAAGGGCGATCATCTGGTGGCGCCAGGAGTACCATATCTCAGGGAAGCCGTGCAGGAAAACGACGACGTTAGGACCTGAAAAGACACAAAAACAAGAAATGTTGAAAGTTTTAGTAGGTTATACAGTGAGGCAAAAAAATCAAGAGTGCAATAGATGATTATTAATTCAGACCGGTCCCGATATCGGCGACGTGAAGCTTGAGGCCACCTACATCAACAAATTTGTGTTGAATTTGGTCCATCTTGCGGGTTCTAAGGTTCTGAGCGACTTTGAGTGTACTCTCTTACTAATGAAACTGAAAAGCTTGGTTCACTGTATGTGCATGCAGGTGTGTGTGTATATACACACATACATAGGCGAATGAAGCTGCAAGGATAGGAACATGAAAACTGGGCAATTTGACAGCTGGCATGCTTGCAAATGCAATGAGGTCAAAATAGTCTTTTGAGTGATAGCTGCTTCCGATTCAGTTGAACTTGAAGGAATAAGAAAAAAGAATTGAGAGAGGATGCCTTTTCTGAGAGAGACAGAAAAATGATTTTTGGTCTTATCAGGCTAGGGACAGAAAAGAGAAATCTGGATTCTGTGTCGAACCAGGTTTGTGAAAGTTGACGATTGTCTTCCGTTTTTCAGTATTTCACTTGACGTGGATCATGAACCTCGTCATATACAATTATATTTTAATGGTTTTCATTACACTTTAATTTTTTAATTCTTAATTAAAAAAGCTTCTCCCTTTCCTTCTACAAAAAAGATTCAATTTTTCACGAAAATATAATATATATTTAAAAAAAATCATTTTAATGAATAGTAAGTAATAAACAAATAGTAGTATTAGTTTAATTTTATTGTCAGTCTAAAAGCATGCAGAGGGAAAAAAAAATATGTAGTATATGTATCAAATCGATAGGGAATAGTGACTGATACAAACTAAATCTTTTACAATAACAATTAATTTTAATTTTTCGTTCGTTCGAGAGAGATAAATTCAAATTAATTGTTGTTGTAATCTCTAGCCAATCTCACTAGAATGAGTGAATTGATTTATGTAGCTTGCCGAATTCAAATCTGACTGGAACTTCAGCCACAACACACGGACACAATTTATATGGTTTAGATATTTGTCACACAGGGCTACATGTTACATAATTTTATTCAGAAACATTTATAGCAAATTCCTAGGATTCGTAAGCATGTCTCTGTCTCCTAGAAATTTTAACTTGAGACTTTCAACATGGTTCCACAATCAAAGGTGCTTCCCAAGGAAGTCAAGGATGAGCTGATTAACTTGTTCTGGGAATTGCTCTTGAACAAAGTGGGTTCCCTCCGGAATGAAAGTCATTTCCAAGTTGGGGGCATATTCTTTGGCCTTTCCACTCTTTATGAGATCCTCAATCCCTGGAAATTTCAGAAAGTAATCCTTTTCACCAAAAATCACTAGTGCTGGAACTTTCACTATTGGATCTGGTAAGTTGTACTCTTCAACCACTGACCTATAAATGCAAGAAATAAATGCCATCAGCCATAATTTACCCACAGCTCAGAAAATTTCTTAGCCAGGAATACTGCTCATTTTATTATGTGGGCAGCAAAATCACTGCTTAGAATTTAACTTGATGAGTTATGAACAGAGGCAGAAACAGGGAAATCGATGCTCTGAGAATAAAGAGACTTGAAAATGGAAAGGCAGAAAAGTTTATATTTACATGTCATTTGAATATATTTTTTTCTAACCTATCTAACCCTTTTTCATAGGGAAGAGTCCCACACACATGCATGAGTCACCAACTATGTAACCCTTTTGGGAAGGTGGTCCCACACATATGCATCGCTCACCTGCCTAGCACACAGTACACAACACCTGATTAACCCCAACACACACACCAACCTAGCTTAAGTGTGCGTTCGATTTTCTGTGCATCAAAAGTTCATTTAATAAAAATTTATTTGATAAAAATTAGTTCAGTAAAAATTAATTGTTATAATAAAATTTATATTTAAATATATTTTTTTAAAAATCAGTTAGATATACTAAAAGTTGTTTGATTTATAATAGTGAAATGTATTTTTAAATGTATAATTATAAAAAATTAATTTATGATGATTTTCAATTTTTATTATATAAATATAATATATTTAAAATATTTAAAAAATGTGATAAAGATTTTAAATAACATAAATTTTGATTTATAATGCTAAAAATTTGATCTCTAGTTATTTATATTTTTTTTAGTTTGTAATTTTAAAAATGTAATAAAGATTTGTAATTTTTATTATACATTAGTGCTAAAAATTAACATGATTAATTATTCAATTTATAATGCTAAAAAAATTGATACCTAATTATTATTATTGAAATAATAATTATATTTTTAATGAATTAAATATTTTTTAAATAAAAGAATAAGATATTAAACTTGGAGTAGTATGGTCAAATAATAACCTATTTTTTAAATTTACTTTTCAAAAGTTTCAAATAGTTACGTTTCATAAATTCACTCTCAACTATTATTTTTTGATGTACTTTCAGAATGTGCTTTCTTGCAAAATATTTTACCCAAACAATTTTTAACTTTTCAAAAGTAAAATTTTGCTTTCTAAATGTGAAACGAAAGAAAACCAAGCAGACCCTAAATCCCCACCCATTTTTGAGTCTAGAGGGGATAGAACCCATACGCCTTACATCAAAGGAGAATAAGGTTAATACAATTGAACTAAATGGTTCTTGACATTTAAAGAGAGATAAAACTTACTCATAATATAAAAAGGCCATATTGTTTATGCACAGTGCAATTCATGTCTTAAATTCTGTGCAATGCATGGGACTAGTGCTGATCACTATACAGTTTAAGACAAGCAGCACAATGCATCAATTGTTGGATACAAAAAACATGCTATTAGCAACAAATGATGATTGAAATCTTCCGTGGAATGCGGTGCTCATGAAAAAAGGTAGAATATATAGTTTCTGATAAAACACAATTCAATATTGTCTTAGGAAGAAGAACCATTCCATTACCTGTATGGAACCTTCAATGCATTTGGGAATCCAGATCTCTCATACAGCGCTCCATATGCTGCAAGATCTTCCTCTGTAAACCAAGGGGGAAGAGGGGTTGATGGTTCTACCAAATCCATAATCTCCTGGTTTTCCTCAGCTATAGGTATCTCACTTCTTGAGAAGAGGATGTAAATTTTTTTCACAACTGTCTTTACATCAAATCGCCCAAAATCAGCCTCCGCCCTTCCTGGTTCCTGAAAAAGACAGAACAACGTTGCATCATAGATATAGCAGTACCAATTATTATATTAGAAACTAGAAATTCAACAGAGAGTTTAAGATAACCTTCCATCTTGTAATGTAGAAGCCTTCAGGAAGGTATTTGTGGAACTGAGAGGGGCCAGGAGGACGGTATGGAACTCCCAATGTGATAACACCTAGGACCCTTTCAGGGTGTAGAACTGCAAGTAAATATGCAGGTCGAGCTCCAAAGTCTTTTGCAACGAGAAAAACCTATTTAAGTGATCGCAGAGGGGGAATATATTAAGAGAATTAAATCTAAATAGTTACAGGCGAAATTTTCACTTTTCCAGTTCATTTATCTGTAAATTTTCACCCTCACTATTTTGAACAGCTAATCACAAAACATTCATAAACAGGCGTTATTTTACATCCCAGAGACTACGAAAATTGAAACATGTTTTGCGCATATATGTTTGCCACAGTGCCAGAATCATTCATCAAACTGCATGAGCCACATTAGCAGTAGAATCATCATAACCAAGCGGGACTAGTTTAAAATGCAATTCCTTGGCAAGGGGAGGATATATACAATAATGCTTATATCGGGAGTAACGAGCAAAAGAATAAAGCAAAAGTGCTCGCTCATCGAAGAAGCTTAGAGTAATTCGCTCTTGCCATTAAGCGATGCAGAATGATGAAACACAAATTAACTCGTCAAGCATGATACACTTCATGTTCACATCAAAACCAAAGAAAGTCCGCAGGTATTTTGAGTACCTTAGCAAGAGCAAGTGCATCGAGCATTCCGAGTAGGTCATTGGTAATGTCAGAGAAGGAGGTTTTATCGGGTTCGGGCGGCGGGTCAGAAAGGCCGTAGCCTCTGTAATCGGGGGCAACGGCTCTGAAGCCGGCACCTGCAAGGGCGATCATCTGGTAACGCCAAGAGTACCAGATCTCAGGGAAGCCGTGCAGGAATACGACAACGTTAGGACCTGAAAATCACCAAAAACAATATCAATGTTGGAAGCTAATTCGGATATAGGGTGGTCGCTAGGACAGAGCAAAATCAAGAAAGAAGAAGAGGATTATCATTCTGACCGGTTCCGACATCGGCGACGTGAAGCTTGAGGCCTCCTATGTTGATGAATTTGTGTTGAATTTGGTCCATCTTTACGGATTTCCGGTTCTGAGCGATTTCATTCTGGACTCTCTTACTGAGGAAACTTGAATAATGGTTCACTGTATGTGTGCAAATACATGTATATATGCTTCGAACAATGAGGCTGCCGAATGGGAAGTAAATACTTCATTTGGCAATTTGTCAGCCAACTGTCATGCATGCACCAAGCCTAGATGGTTTTTTGCAAGGAACTAAAAATTATTGAACTGGTCGAGTTAGTTTAGTAGTTCAATTTAAGTTGAATCGGGTCAATTAAAAAGGTAAATCGATCATGATTAAAAAAATTAAAATAATACAATTTAATCATGAAAATATTCAACTAAATCTAAGATTAATCTCTAATATAAGATACAAATATAATAATAATTATAAAATTATAACCACCCAAAAGTTTAACAATAATAAAATACAACTTTCTAAATATTCATTCTTACAATTTCAATTTATAACCCTTCGATTATTAAAAAGTCCAAAATCAATCATCACTAACACTAAAATCATCACTAATGATAGTCATTATTCATAAATGCCAAGCAACAATCAAACAAATGAATAACAACAAATAACAAAAGATTAAAACAATTAATGTATAATTAACTTAAAAGAATACTTAATCTTTTAAGTTCGAACTTACAATCAAGACTCTTTATTTGAAGTTTAAACTACAGACAGTGAAATCTAGTTTAATTGTCTTATCCTCTATTGCCTTGCTTTTTTAATGTTCAAGCTGAATTTTTTTTACTTTTAATTAAGTTTTTACACTTTAAAAAAATAAAAACAAAAAAAATTAAAAAAGTGACTCGGCTGATCCAACAACCCGGCTACTGGGTTAGCCAAGTTATCTTGGGTTGACTCTAGATCAGTTGGGTTAGTAGCTGGCCGGTTTAGTTGAAAATTTAGATCAGAAAAGAGATCGGGTCAATGATTCACGAGCTAAATCAATCGGCCCAATTTAGGTTTCTATACAATGGTTTTTTGAGTGAGAATATAGATGCTTCAGGTAAAGGAGTTAAGATGCTCTCTTAAATAGACAAATCGATGATGATAGAAATTAGGCAAGATGTAAGTTGAGGACCCACGAAATTTTTTATATCAACTTAGGATTTCAAGATTATGATATTGTATTGAACTCTCCTGATACTTACATGAAAATAGGTTTTTTATGAGAAAAGACATTATCACCTCTAAAATTTAAAATAATAAATTATTCAGATTTTGACAATAATTCATTTGTAAATAAATTGAATAAGTTTTAGTTCTACATAAACATGTATTCATTCATATTTTGACAGTAACTCATTTGTAATTGACAATAATCTATTTGAGAAAGAATAAGTTAGAAAAACTGTGAGAATATATGAAATTAGGCAAGTGTTAATTTTACATGAACAAGTATCTATTCGAATTTTAACAGCAACTCATTTATAATTAATAACATCCTATTAAGAAATGGACAAGTGACTGTCATTAGGAGGGGTAATTAGGTCTATTTTCAATAAAAAATTATTTTCAAATGAGTATTAAGGTAGTGCAGTGCAAAATCATAATTTTAAGGTTCTTAACTAATATAAAATTTCTCCAAAGGCTCTCAATTGATATTTCCCCTAAAAATTAGGTATTGATATAAAATATGAGTTATAATTTCTTAAATACTATTAATAAACAAGTTATTCTTTTTTTATCATTTTTATTATTATTCTTAATGAAGGTGTATGAGTGGGAAGGACGTACAGTCAGTCATTACATGATGGCATATTTTTTTAATGAAAATTTAAATTTTAATTCATGGTATTACGAGAAACTAACTCTTTCTATTAAATTTAACCTTCATTGGTTACTTCTCTTATTCTTAACATAAGACAAATTTTAAAAGTTTTTTAGTTTTTAATATAAGGCAAAGTTGGAGTGATTAATTTTTTTAATTTTACCTTTGACTATTTAGAATAGTTTGAATTACTAAATAATAATTTAGTATGATTATTAATTATAAAAAAGAGTAAAATTTAAAAGTTACACTGCTGTTTCGTTTTTTTTTTTCAATTTTAAAGATATAATTAACGTTTATTGATAAACGCAAAGTTGGTCAATTTTATCTTATATTGAGAATCGGAGCGTGTGCGTCTGTGTATATATATTAGATAAAAATTTGATAATGATTGCTGAGTGTGTTTATTGAAGTGGCAGGTAGAGCCATCAATCTAGCCCTCACAGGCCCAGCTAAGCCCTCAGCTTAAAATAAACACTTTTCTTAAATTGACCTTATTAATTGAACTTAGGCCCTGTTTGATAGGAAAAAGAGAATGTTGAGAGAAAAAAGATTTTATGTTACCTTTTTTAATTTTGTTGGAGGAAAAAGGAGGAGAAGAGTTTTTAATAATCATTTATTTGGTTTAGGAGGAAAGAAGAGTGGAGGTAATAATTAATTTACTATGATACCTTTTATTTTTAGTTCTTTCTTGTGTAAACAATATAATAATAACAACTTTTTCAACTCCTTTAAATATATAATAAAATAATATTAGGATATTTGTGTTTGCAGTAAAATAATTCACACCATAGTTCTTGATATCCACAGTCTCAAGTCAGTACTTTTATGAAGTCTTGGCCTTCAGCAATCTTCTTTTCGTAGGCTTTGGAAGACAATAAAAAAGGAGCTTAGCCATGTCATTGGCAATATTGTGAGACAAGTTATTCCCTTTGGTCATTGATTTACGATGGTCTTCATCATTCCATGGCGACACAATATTTCAACAGATAAGTAATCCAAATGGGTACAAAAAAGATGACACTTGACGAAAATAATAGAGCTTTAGCAGCAAAGAGATAGGTTTGATGGCAATTGAAAGATGCACAGTGAAACAGGTTCAGCAACAATGAAGAAGCAAAGTGATGCATGACCATCATTGGCATTTATGAAATATTAAAAAATATATAAGGGCAAATTAGTCATAAATTTTGGCTTATCTAAGAGAAAAACCTCAATTTGGTGGAAGCCAAAATAAGGGAAGGAAAAATTTTAGCTCCCCTCTCTCTCAAAATTTCTAACCAAATGAGGGGGATTCTTCTCCCCTTTAACTAAATATACACCTTTTAGAGATGAGTCTGATATTTTATATAATTTTTTTATTTAAAATTTTAATTATATCATACATAAAAATTATAAAGTACCTTAATTAAATATCTAAAATAAAATTATAAGCTATGAATTATAATAAAAATAATTCAGACCCTATACTATAACATAAATCATACAAGTTTAAATTGTCTATAATTCAAGATATAAATATTCTTTATTCCTTAATTGCTATGTGAATCTCGTTTTAAATAGGTTTGATAACTCATACCTATTTAGCTAAACTACATTTGGCATATGAAAATACATCCTATGGAGATGTTGAAAGTTGTTTAGATATCACACCTGACTAAAAAAATATGCTTTTTTAAAATATTTCCTAAAGTACTTTGGATATAAATTTGGCAAAGTAAATTGGAAAAGGATTTGAAAAGTAAAATATTATTTAACCATATTACCTCTTTAATCCATTATTATTTTATTTAAAAAATATTATTAATTCATTAAAAATATAATCATCATTTAAATAATAATAATAATAATAATAATAATAATAATAATAATATTATTATTATTATTATTATTATTAGAGATAACTTTTTGGCATTATAGGTTCAATAATTAATCAAATCAAATTTTAGCATGGACGCATATTCAGCTATTTTATATAATTTTTGTCAAATATATCAAATTTTATATTTTTTACTTTTACCAGTTAATATATCAAATTTTATATCATTTAAAATTTTTATTGACCAACAAAAGTTTGTTCAATTAGTTAAACTTTTTTTAATAAAAAAAGTATCATATATATTTTTGAATCATGTTCATTTTTAATATTAATGTATGTTAAATTATATATTATATAATTTTTTGAATATATCAAAATCTATATTTTTTATTTTTATTATTCAAAATATCAAATTTTATGTTATTTAAAAATTTTTACATTTTTTAAATATTTTAAATATATTATATTTGTATAATAAAAATTATAAATTATCATAAATCAAAGCCCTATTTAATAATTATATATTTAAAAACACATTTTATTATTATAATTTAAATAATTTTTAATTTATTAAATTTATTTTTAAAAATATATATTCAAATACAAATTTCATTACAACAAGTAATTTTTATTAAATTAATTTTTATCAAATAAACTTTTAATAAATTGATATTTGGCTAACAAAAAACCAAAAAGGCACTAAAACAAGACATTTGAACGGTTTTCTCGGACGAGAGATGAGATGGTTCACTAATTTTCTAGTTAAACCGCTCTGACTCGTTAAGGTTTTAACATTGGTATAGTGAAATAACGTGGTGTTAGCCTTCGAAAGTTGCAAAACCCGTTTCCAACGAGTTTCTGAGCGTAAGAGCAAACAGTTGTGTAGTTCTCTTCAGCCAAAAGCACATACTTGGTGGAATACATGAAGTTTCAAATCTCATATATAAACATTAAAATGGCTAAGAGCCAATAGTGAAGTTCAAAATCAAATGTGCTTACCAAGGAAGTCAAGGATGAGCCGATTAACTCTTTCAGGGAATTGCTCTTGAACAAAATGGGTTCCCTCGGGAATGAACGTAATCTCCAAATTGGGGACAAGTTCTTTCGCCTTTCCACTCTTTATCAGATCCTCAATCCCTGGAAATTTCAGAAAATAATCCTTCTCACCAACAATAAGAAGTGCTGGAGCTTTGGCTATCGGATCTGATAAGTTGAATTCTTCATTGAATGACCTATAAATGCGAATACTAAAAGTCAGTAGCCATCAAGCACCGGCAGCTTCAGATGATTTCTGAGACAAGGATACTGCTAACTTTATTATGTGGGGAGCATAATTACTTAACTGGCATTTCACTAGAAGGGTCATATGAAAATGAGCTAAAATGAGGGAATTGATGTAAAGGAAAAAATAAAGTACTTGACTTGGAAGGAGAGCAGTAAAAAAATTCAATTCATAGGACATTTGTATGCATTTGAAGAGAGAGAAAATTTACATAAATTCTTCAGAAAAGCAGCAAAGTGGACCAACATTTCGATGTGATATGCTGTTAGCAAGCAATAGCAGAGGATCCATTATTTTGTCCTCAGCACAAGAATCATTCCACTACCTGTATGGAACCTTCAATGCAGTTTGGAATCCAGATCTCTCATACAATGCTCCATACGCTGCAAGATCTTCTTCTGTAAACCAAGGGGGAAGAGGGGTTGATGGTTCCACCAAGTCCATAATCTCCTGGTTTTTCTCAGCTATTGGTAGTTCACTCCTTGAAAAGAGGATGTAAATGTTTCTCACAACTGTCTTAGCATCAAAACGTCCAAAATCAGCCTCGGCCCTTCCTGGTTCCTAAAAAAGACAGAACAGCGTTGTATAGCAGATAGTAACAGTTATTAAACCAGAAACTCGACAGTTTAAGGTTACCCGCCATCTTAGAATGTAGAAGCCTTCAGGAAGGTATTTGTCGTAAAAAGAGAAGCTGGGAGGCCTGTATGGAATTCCCAGTGATATAACACCTAAGACTTTTTCCGGGTGTAGAATTGCAAATAAATATGCAGGTCGAGCTCCAAAATCTTTTGCAGCTAGAAAAACCTATTCACGTAGTTGACAAGAGAGAACATATTAAGAGAGAGATTAGTATGAGAATTAGCAGGAGAATAATTCTAACAAGATTGCCATATAATATGGCAACTCGCAAAGATTGATCACTATTTTGAACAGTTAGTCATATACTCTCATAAAGAAGCATTATTTTACTAATGAACAAATTTGTACATCCAGACTGCAAAAATCGAATTATCTTTTACATTTATATAGGTGCCAGAATCATTCATCAAACTACATGGGCCACATTAGCAGGAGAATACTCATAACAAGCTACCAACTGGAAACTGAGATCAGTTTAGAATGAAATTTCATGTCGATGGAAAGATACTGTAATGCATATTTCTTTAGTAACAAAAGAACAAAGCAAAAGCCAAAAGGTGCCTGAAAATATAAAGCAACCAGCATAAGTAGAGAATAAAGAAACTTTTGAGAGACTGAGCAGCCCATATATTTAGAGTATTTTGCACACAGGCTTGAACCTCAGGTGCTTCGGGCTGTGTTCTTTACCTCCTTCCTCGGTTACTTTCTTTCCTTCATTGGGGACAGACGTGTCTCCGGCCATTTCTGGTTTTAAGCACGTAAATCCAATTGATGAAGCGATTTATTTCATAAAATTGTGTTTTTGTTGACGCTAAAATTGGAGTGAATTACACTAAGCTCTCTCTCAAAGTTATACCAAGTTTGATTATTAGGTACAGAAGGTGGGGAGATTGATTTTAAGCCCAGGGATTATATCGTTATTTTCATTCGAGAACGGAAGTAGCCAAATAAACACTGATGTGACTGAACACTGTGTAGAAATTAATAATTAAATTGAAGAAATTCTTTTAGGAATGTATATAATCAAGAAGCCAACGGATATCGTTACTACAAGAACAGGTATAACTTAGATATTCCTACAGCAGCAATTGACTCTTTATTGTACAGAGAAGAAAGTAAGATGAAACTGCATTGTAAGATCAAACAACATAGAAATTCCGTGAATTCAGTACCTTAGCAAGACGGAGTTCGTGGAGAAGTCCGAGTAGGTCACTGATAAGGTCAGAAAAGGTAGCTTTGTCGGGTTCAGGTGGGGGATCAGAAAGGCCGTAGCCTCTGAAGTCGGGAGCAATAGCTCTGAAGCCGGCTGCGGCGAGGGCGATCATCTGGTGGCGCCAGCTGTACCATATCTCAGGGAAGCCGTGCAGGAAAACGACGACGTTAGGACCTGAAACGCCGGAAAAATAAGAATGGTCGTAAGTTTGGGAGAGGGTGTAGGGACGAATGAAAATGAAGCGAGGCGCAGTGGATAATTATTCAGACCGGTTCCGATATCGGCGACGTGAAGCTTGAGGCCTCCTACATTGAGGAATTTGTGCTGAATCTGTTCCATCTCATCAGAGTGATTCTCTGACTTCGATTTCAGTGTACGCTCGTTCGTAGTGCCGTTGAATGCTTGGAGTCAGGGTTGTTCGGATGGGGCCGGAATTAAATTTTTATCTCGTTTATTGTTTTAAAAGTTATCCTGTTTTGTTAAAAATTGAGATGGGATCTGGATGAGACAGAGATATCATATCCCGTTAGAGTCAATAGCATGGGAAAAATATTAGATAGTAATATTTATCAAAATATTAAATTATATAATTTGTCAGATTTAAATGTAAAATAACACAAATATATAACCCGTAATAATTTAAACTCAATCATTAAGTTATATCATTAAGTTTTGAATAGGAATTGACAATATTAAAATTATAATTAATATAATTTATTATTATTATAATTAATACAAGAATAAATTGTATTAATATAATTAATAGATAATACCTATTTTTAAAAGAAAAAAATATACATACATACATATATAAATATATAAGACATGATAGGCTGGAAAAGACATGTTGCTATCATATTGGGAAGGAATCAGGTCGATTAGAATGAGTATACGGTTGAATATTCTTTAATAGGGATAAGGTTATTTTGATCTTAAAAAAAAACAATCTCAAAATTTTTTGCCAAGGGATGGTACTGTGCAATCTCATGTTAAATGGGATTGGGATTGAGATTGGATTCACCTATAATCCATACAAAATATGGTACTTATGTAAAGTTAACTTGTTATTTTACTTTTAGGCAAAAAAAAAATTGTTATTTTACTAACACATACTTGTTAATTTAAAAAAAAAAACTTGTTAACAATACCTCTTGTCATATTCTATGTTGTTCACTTGTTGCAATGTTCAGTAGACTTGTTAACATCCTAACATAATTTATCATTTCATTGATCTGCACTTAAAATTTTATTATGGGAATTTACTAACAATACATTTCACATATTAAAGCTTGTTAACTTGTTAAAATATGAAAGGTACTTGTTAACTTGAAACTAATCTTTTTCCCAAAAAAAAAAATGAAGGGCATTTTGACTGAAAAAACACACATACACATTCAATTTGGCTCCTTGCTCCTTGGACTAACATGAAGGTACTTGTTAACTTTAAGCTAATCTTTTTCCCAAAAAAAAAAAAATGAAGGGCATTTTGATTAAAAACACACATTCAATTTGGCTCCTTGCTCTATGGCACTATATTTTCAAATTCTATTGCTCCTCATTTGAAGTTAAAGCCTTTGCATTGATTTAGATTTAGATTTAGATTTTATATTTAAAATTTTACATTTTAAATTCATGTATTTAAAATATTTTATTTAGGTTAAAAAACTTTTAATGAAGAAGAGAGATGGATTGATATTAGAAACAAAATAAAAAATTAAAATTAACGAGTTTATTTTTATTTTTCAATCAACAAAAGATGATAAAAGATATGAAAATTATAAATGTATTAATAATAAAAATGTAAAGAAAATGAGATATTTGAAATTAATTTCAAATGAGTAGAATGTAGATAAAATTTAAAATTGCAAAGAAATTATAAATTAAAATGGAATCAAATCCAAATTCAAAAATTTATGTATCCAAATAAAGAATTTATCTAAATTCTCATTAATCCAAACATGCCATTACTAAAATCTACCTAGAAAAAAAATTATGAAAAATTAAGATAAGTTGTAGTATTGAGCCAAAAAAAAAAAAGAAGAAGAAGATAAGGTGTAGTAATGGCTAAACGAAAACCAATTATTTTTGTGATGTTGCCGAGCGTTGGCTTGTTTCCCCGATTCTAACAAATGCTTGCAGAACCAAGTATACACAAACACAAGTTACGAAACAGTGTATGTAAGTCATCATAAAGTTAGAAACAAAATCTTATTCATTCATAAAATTTATTTTTTTTGATAAAGTTACATGACCAAGATTAGTTGGGGAAAAAATTCACTGAGATTCTATCATCTATCATAATTTTTTTTTATTTACCATTACAAAGGATATAGAAAATTAGAAGAAACAATTATTCACAAATGAGATCTGTAAGGCAAAAAAATCAACCTATAAAAACCACCAACAGATTGAATAACCCCAGTGTTTGGTATTGTCAACTGGTTCCTCCTGAAGTAATGTTCAAATACAATTAGCAACACCATAATAAAACGCAGAGCTATATTTGAGTTGGTAAAAAGCTTACAATTAAATAGGCTGGATGCCAAAAAAAAAAAAGAGAAAAAGAAAAAGAATGAAGGCAGGCTTTCCAACAACGGAGATGTGTTTAACTTAAGACCCAAATATGCTACTCAGGCATTCTCTTTCATGAGAGGCAGGAAACAATATCAGATATATAGACTCATACCATAATCATTGAGCATTTAATGCACCAGCAGACTTGCTAGTTGATATTGGAAAAATAAAATTCCTTCTAGATTACACACATTACAAATATCGTGATAACCCACCTCATTGTTTGGTTGTTTTTGCTGATGAACACTAAATATATCTTGTCGCACCTGAAAAAATATGAGGCGGATGGTCCACGAGCAGAGGTCTCAATCTTTGCGGCGGAAACTGGATAGAATGAGGAGTTGCCACCAAGATTTTGAGGTAAATCTTAAGAAACCGTTTAAAAGGAGGATAAGGATGGTCTGCGAAATCAGAAAATAGGTTCGGGAGTCGGTTGAGTGTGGGAAAGGTGTTAAGCATCCCACAACACCCGTTCGTGAGGACGGTTACTTAAAGTTTATTGTTCTATATTAATATAGTTTTAAAATTATTTTAATTATCCCTTTTATATTCATGTGTTTCAAAAATGATAAGAATTAAGTGAGAAATGTTTATTTATTTACGAGGGAGGACTTGACTCAAAATCCGACTCTGAGGCCTACATATCCTGTGATGGGGATCAAAGTCCACGTAGTTCAAGTGGTTGATGAAAATATTTTTTTTGAAGAGAAGTTAATTAGAAATAATTCACCATTTTGCAAATAAAATAATTTCTGAAATTTTGATATGTGTGTTTTAAATTACAAAAAGTAATTTAATTTTAATTATTTTTTTAATTTTTGAATTTTTGGAATAAAGAAGGAAAAGAGTTTAAAATTATTTTTTTATGTTTTATGATTGAGAATTTAACTGCTATACCTTTAGAGCCTTATTGGTTCATACAGTAATACAGTTGTTCTAAATATCTATAGAGATTCTGAAATCTCACACGATAAAAGAAGTGTTAGTAATTTTTTTGTTCAAGTATGTATGTATGTTTTTAAAGAGTTTTAATTATCATACCTGTAAAGCCCTATTGGCTTATACGGTAATATGATTATCCTAAATATATGCGGAGATTTCAAAATCTCACACAATAAAGGAATTAAATTTAAATACATCTTTAATTTAATTAATTTAATATAATATATATATATATATATTTTTAAAAAAATTTAATCGTTATATCTGCAGAGTCTTATTGACTCATATAATAACATGATTATCTTAGAAGTTTATGGAGATTTAAAAATCTCACATGAATAAAAGATATAATTGATAAATATGATTACAATTTAAATGCATTAATTTGATTAATTAATTTTCTAAATTGTGTATTATATGATTATTTACAAAAATTATTTATTTATTATAAAAATTGAGAATCACTATATCTGTGAGGACTTATTATCTCACACGATGATGTGATTAATTTTAGTCTTTATGAAGATTCTTGAAATCTCACATAAGACTTAAATAAATTATTAATTTGAATTATAAAAAGAGATTTAATGTTAATGATGGACCTTTGAAACTCATATTAACATATAAGTTTTACTCTTGTATCTGCATAACCTTATTGATTTACACGATACGAGATTATCCTAAGTATCTGCAGAGATTCAAAATCTCACACAATAAAAGGATTAAATTTATTCACTTTAAATATATTTTAATTCGTAATTATACAATGCATATTTTTAAATATAAAAATCTTAATCGTTATACTTGTGAAGTCTTATTAACTCACACAGTAATAAGATCATCTTAAAGGTCTACAAATTTTTAAAAATCTCACATGACCAAAAAATCTAATTAGAAAATGTGATTATGATTCAAATTTATTACTTTAATTAATTAAAATCATAAAAACATTTATTATTTTATTTACAAAATTTATTTATTTATTTACCATATAAATTGTGAATCACGATATCTGCGAGTATTTATTATCTTACACAATAAGGCAATTAATTTCATTCTCTAAGAAGATTCTTAAAATATCATGTGAGACTTGAATATTTATTATAAAAAGAAAATTAATTTTAATAATGGGTCTTTGAAACCCATATTAATATATACAAGATTGATCCTCATAACTGTAAAATTTTATTGATTTACATGATAGGGGATCATTCTAAATGCCTATGGAGATTCTTAAAATCTCACACGACAAATAGATAATCAAGATATTTGCATTTACAGACAGTGCATAATATGAATTTAGCATTCAAAGGAACAGAGAAAGAAACTATTTTGACACTTCACCTCCTCTTTTAACTTAAGGATGTATTCTTCAAGTTTTTTTTTTAAATTAGCCTAATGCTTAGATATGGCTTTCGAAAAGAAGTAATGATAGTCGTGGTAATAGAATCCAACAATTAAAATTAACAAGATCCACATACCATCTCCATCATTAATTATCTAATTTATTTACCATGAAAATCAAAATGAAGTTGATGTCTTAAAATTATTTGTGAATAAACAATAGCATGCATATTCTACATATACATACTCTTAATTTTCTCAAAATAATGTGATCATTTGAATGAATGAAGCAGGCATATGAAATTTTAAAAGAATTACAAAATTTTGAACAAGAAAAAGCCTACTCAAATCATCGAGACCGAGATAAAGAAGCCATAAAGGTCCGAAAAAATGAGTAAATCCCACTCCAAGTGACGTTGTAGGCACCACCGCTCTTCTGATTCATATTATTCATCTTTTATGTCCAACTGCTCCAGAAGTGAAAGTTCATATGGGAGTAAACATGGAAGGTTGCTTGTGAGTTTCGTGTTCTGGAACATGGTTTTTGGGATCGCCTACACCACATCAGACACTCCCTTA